AAGCAGGCTCCAGGCTCTGAGCTAGCTGTCAGCACAGAGCCCAACGCGGAGCTCGAATTCATGAACTGTGAGATCATGATCTGAGCCGAAGTCAGACACTTAACTGACTGAGCCACGCAGGCGCCCCTAAAAAAATTGTTTTAAATAAATAGATCTACCAAACAGAAAATCAGTAAGGACATAGTTGAACTCAACAACACCATCAGTCAGCTGGATATCATAGACATCTATAGACTACTTCATCCAACAATAGCAAAATATCTATTCTCAAGCTTATATGGAAGATCTACCAAGACAGACCACATTTAGATCTATAAAACATTTTAACATATTTAAAAGAGTGGAGTAATACAATGTCTGCTCTCAGATCAAAATGGAATTAGATTAAGGGTACCTAGGTAGCTCAGTTGGTTAAGTGTTGGACTCTTCATCTTGGCTCAGTTTTGATCTCGAGGTCATGAGTTCAAGCCCCACAGTGGGCTCCACACTGGGCGTGAAGCCTATCTAATAAAGAAAAGGAATTCAATTAGGTATTAATAACAGAAAGATAGCTGGAAAATTCCAAAATACTTGGAGATTAAACAACACATTTCTAAATAACACATGAGTCAAAGAAGAAATCTCAAGAGAAATTTTAAAATATTTTCAATGAAAATGAAAACCCAGCTTGTCAAAATTTGTGTGCAGCAAAAGCATTTCTTAGATGGAAATTTATAGCATTGAATGCATATATTAGAAAAGAAGGAAGATCTAAAATCCATAATCTAAGCTTCGACCTTAGGAAAAGAAAAAGAAGAGCAAATTAAATCCAAAGTAAATAGAAGAAAAGAAATAAAAAGATTTAGAGCAGAAATCAATAAAATTAAAAACAGGAAATTAGTGGAGAAAATTAATGAAACCAAAAGGTGGTTCTTTGAAAATATCAGCAAAACATATTTTGGTCCATATGGGCTGCTGTAGCAAAATACCACTGAGTAGCTTGTAAACAAATTTATTCCTCAGAGTTCTGGAGGCTGAACATTCAAGTTCAGGGCACCCACATAGTCAAGTTTTGGTGAAGGTCCCTTCCCAGTTTGCACAGTGCTGACTTCTCACTGTGTCCTATCATCATGGAGTGGGTGAACTAGCTTTCTAGTGTCTCTTATAAGGGCACTAATCCTAATGGTGAGGGCTCTTGCCCTCATGACCTAAGCACCTCCCAAAGGTCCTACCTTCTAATCCCATCATTGTGGGGGTTAGAGTTCAATGTATGAATTGGCATGGGGGACACCAGCATTCAGACCATAATGATTAAAAAGTCTCTAGCCAATCTAAACGAAAAAGAGAGAAGTCATAAACTATTAATATCAGAAGTGAAAGATGGGACATCACTATAGATCCCATGGACATTAAAGAAATTCAATCAACAATCAATAACCTTCCAAACAGAAAATACCAGGTTGACATGGGTTTACTGGTAAATTATACCAAACATTTAAGGACAACATTTTATCAATTCTCTATAATCTCTTTCAAAAGAGGGAAGAGGGAATCCTTCCAGATTAATTTTGTGAAGCCAACATTATCCTAATACCCAAACCAGACAAAGACACTAAAAGAAAACTATAGACCAATATTTCTCATTTTCATAGATGCAAAAATCCTCAACAAAATATTAGCAAATCAAATCCAACAATGTTTAAAGAATTATACACCATGACCAAGTAGGATTTATCCTGGGAGTGCACCCATTCATCATAAAATCTGGCACCCATTCATCATAAAAACTCTAAGTAAACTAGGAATAGAGGGTAGCTTCCTCAACTTGATAAAGATAAAGCCTATCTACAAAAACCCTACAGCTAACATCATATTTAAGGGTGAAAAACTTGAGTTTTCTCACTAAGATCAGGAACAAGGCATGGAAGTCCCCTAACCACTGCTTTTCAACATTGTTCCAGAAGTCCTAGCTAATGCAATAAGGCAAGAACAGGAAATAAAAAGTATGCAGATTGAGACAGAAGACACAAAACTGTCTTTGTTCACAGAAAATATGATCATCTATATACATAGCCCAAAATAATTGACAAAAAAAACCTCCTGGACATCCTAAGCAATTATAATAAGGTTACAGGATATAAAGTTAATATACGAAGTCTATGCTTTTAATATAGCAGCAATGAACAAAAAGACTGACATTAAAAACATAATACCATTTCCAGTAGCATACAAGAAAGTGAAATTTGTAAGTTAAAAATACACCAAACTATGTACAAGGCCTATAGGAGAAAAGCTACAAACCTGATGAAAGATATCCAAGAACTAAATAAATGGAGAGATGGTCCATGTTCATGAACAGGAAGATTCAGTTTTGTCAAGACATCATTTGATGCACCTGGGTGGCTCAGTCAGTTAAGCGTCCGACTCTTAATTTCAGCTCAGGTCATGATCTCACGGTTTGTGAGATTGAGCCCTGAGTCGCTCTCCTCTGACAGCACAGAGCCTGCTTCTGATTTTCTCTCTCCCTCTTTCTCTCTGCCTCTCCCCAACTCATGCGCTCCCTCTGTCTCTTTCCCAAAATAAATAAACATAAAAAGAAAAAGATGTCAGTTCTTCCCAACTTTATCTATAGATTCAGTGCAACCCAAATAAAAATCCCAGCGTTATTTTATTTTCAACACAAACTGAGTAAAGAGGGTAAAGGCCCAGAATAGCTAACACAGTAGTGAAAACAACAAAGAGGATCAGTACCACTCAACTTTAAGACTTAGCTATAAAGCCACAGTAATCAAGACGGTGTGGTGTTGGCAACACGGCAGACAAATAGATCAACAGAATAGAATAAAAAGCCCAGAAATGGACCCCCATAAATATAGTCAAGTGATCTTTGACAAAGGAGTGAAGGCAACACAATACGGTAAAAATAGTCTGAAATTTTCAGCTAATAGTTCTGGAGCATCCACATGTGAAAAAAAAGGGGGGGTGGTGCCTGGGTGGCTCAGTCAGTTAAACCACTGACTCTTGGTTTCAGCTCGGATCATGATCTCATGGTTTGTGGGTTTGAGCCCCACATTAGGGTCTGGGGTGATGGCACAGAACCTGCTTGGTATTCTCTGACCCTCTCTCTCTGCCCCTCCCCTGTGTGCATGTCTGCACGAGCGCTTTCTCTCTGTCTCTCAAAAAAGAAAAAAAAGAGGGGTGCCTGGGTGGCCCAGTCGGTTAAGCGTCCGACTTCGGCTCAGGTCATGATCTCACAGTTCATGTGTTTGAGCCCCGCATCGGGCTCCGTGCTGACAGCCACCTCAGAGCCTGGAGCCTGTTTCAGATTCTGTATCTTTCTCTCTCTCTGACCCTCCCCTGCATATGCTGTCTCTCTCTCTCTCTCAGAAGTAAATAAAACATTTAAAAAAAAAAAAAAAAAGAAAGAATGTGGACCTTACGTCTTTAACAGAAGTTAATGCAAAGTGGATCACAAATTTAGATATTAAATGCAAAACTGAAAAACTCCCAGAAGAGAACAGAAAAGGTAGATGACCTTGGGTAGGGAGATGACTTTTTATTTTTATTTTATTTTATTTTTTTTAATTTTTTTTTAATGTTTTATTTATTTCTAGGAGAGAGAGACAGAGACAGCATGAGCAGGGGAGGGTCAGAGAGAGAGGGAGTCACAGATTGAAACAGGCTCCAGGCTCTGAGCCGGCAGTCAGCACAGAGCCCGACGCGGGGCTCGAACCCACGAACCGCGAGATCATGACCTAAGTGAAAGTCGGACACTTAACCGACTAAGCCACCCAGGCGCCCCGGGAGATGACTTTTTAGGTACAATGCCAAGTATGATCTGTAAAGAAATAGTTAACAAGCTGAGCTTCAATATAATTAAAAACATCTGCTTTGTCAATGACACTGTCAAGAAAATGAAAAGTCAAGCCACAGACTCGGAAAAAATAATTGCAAGAGATACAGGACTGAGATAGAGGATATAGGATAAAGGACTGTTAGCCAGAATATATAAAGAACTTAAAACTCAGCAATAAGAGGGGCGCCTGGGTGGCTTAGTCGGTTAAGCGTCTGACTTTCGCTTAGGTCATGATCTCGCGGTTCATGGGTTCGAGTCAGAGCCTGGAGCCTGTTTCAGTCTGTGACTCCCTCTCTCTCTGACCCTCCCCTGCTCACGCTGTCTCTCTCTCTCTCTCCTAGAAATAAATAAAACATTAAAAAAAAAAAACCTCAGCAATAAGAGGGGCACCTGGATGGCTCAGTCAGTTAAACGTCTGATTTCGGCTCAGGTCATGGTCTCAGGGTTTATGGGTTTGAGCCCCACGTTGGACTCTGTGCTGACAGCACGAAGCCTGCTTGAGATTCTCTCTCTCCCTCTTTCTCTGCCCCTTCCCTGCTTGCCTCTCTCTCTCTCAAAATGAATATACATTAAAAAAAAAAAGTTAAAAAAACTCAACAATAAGAAAACAAGCAACCCAATTAAACAATGGGCCAAAAGACTGTAACAGATACTTTACCAAAAAAGATATACAGATGGCAAATAAGCATGTGAGGAGAGTGTGTGCACACACACGCTCTCTCTCAAAATAAATAAATAAACTTAAAAAAAAAAAGTCTATGTGCATTTGATTCCAACTGTATGATATTCTGGAAAAGATAAAACCATGGAGGTAATAAAACTCAGTGGTTGCCAGCCAGTGAGGGGAGGGAGATTTAGGGCAGTGAAACTCTTCTATAGTACAGAGGAGTATACCTAATAGTGGATATATGTCACATATTTGTCTAAACCCATAGAACGCACAACGCCAGGAGTGAACCCTAAGTAGACTAAGGTCTTTGGGTGCTGATGTGTCCATGTCAGCTCACCAGTTGTAACACATGTGCTACTCTAGTGGAAGATGTTGATAATAGGGGAGGCTGTTCATGTGGGGGGGTAGGGAGTACCTGGAGAATTTGTATGCTTTTGGCTCAGTTTTGCTGTGAACCTAAAATGCTCTAAAAAATAAGGTATTTTTAAAAAGAGAGTGTGCTCACTGCAGCCGTACATATACTAAAGTTGGGACAATACAGAGAAGATTAGCATGGCCCCTGCATGAGGATGACACGCAAATTTGTGAAGCCTTCCAATTTTTTAAAATTAATAAGTAAATAATAAAAAAGAGAATTATTGGTTCACGCAATTGAGGAGGCCAGGGCTAGGTCAGGCTTCAGGCACAGCTAGATTCAGGGGCTCGGTGCTACCATTGTGATGCGATCTTCATCTCTCAGCTTTGCTTTCTTTCCTCACTTCAATAGAGGAGCTCCAGGGCGATCCCTAGTATGAAAAGAGACTCTCTGCCACTTGGAAGTTGCCTGGGCAGGGCTTTTACAGTCTTGCCTCAGCCTATGCCTACGTGGCGAGTTAGGGAAGGGAGAGTCCCCCCTTTTCCAGAGGAAGATTGAGGTCTTGTTACCAGGGGAAGGAAGACTTTTAAGTTTTGGGCCTGCAAAAGCTGTAGAGCCCCTGATCAAGGCCTCTCTGGCTCTATCATTCGATGCTTTCAATGCTAGCTTCCTGGCAGTTTGGACGCAGAGGACAGGCTTTCTATAGAAGGAGGCAGTGTGTTTTTTGTTTGCTTTTTTATTAATTTTTCTGCTTATTTATATTTGAGAGAGAGACAGAGACAGGGTGAATGGGGGAGGGGCAGAGAGAGAGAGAGAAGGAGACACAGAATTGGAAGCAGGCTCCAGGCACTGAGCTGTCAGCACAGAGCCTGACCCGGGGCTCGAACCCATGAACCACGAGATCATGACCTGAGCCACAGTCAGACGCTCAATGGACTGAGCCACCTGGGCTTCCTGGAAGGAGGCAGTGTCTAAACGGGGCTTTTGAGGTCAGGTGAGGTGGCTGCAAGTGGCTGGGAGGGTGCTGGGCAGAATGGGAAGGAAGGTGGATGAGTTTGGGGGCTGCCGAAAAGACTGGTTTGGCTGGACAATGGGCGTGTGAAAGTGTTTTGTGGCCAGACTGGGGCCCTGCCCCCCAGTTTCCCAGGCTCGCCTATACTGGTTCCTCTGGGTGTTACCATCTTAGGAGGGGACCTCCCTGGTGTGGGGGGGGCTGTGCTGCCAGAGGTCTCTGATGCCCACCTCCCCCGCAGGCGTTCCTGGTCTATGCCGCAGGTGTCTACTCCAACATGGGCAACTACAAGTCCTTTGGCGACACCAAGTTTGTTCCCAACCTGCCCAAGGTGAGTTGAGGGAAGGCTGGGGAAGGTGAGGAATTTGGGGCTGGTGGGATGGTAGCGGGGGCCCGAGCGGAGCCTTGACCCTGTCACTGCCATGGTGCATGACTCTGGGTGAGCCACCCAGCCTCGCTGGGTACTATAGCCTCCTCACATAGAAGGGGAGAGCAGTGTTTCTTCCTGCCCGCGCTGACCTGAGGGGCATACAAGGGAAGGATGTGGAAATGTTCTGTGAACTGTTAAGTGCTTGCAGAACTAGAGCCTGGTCATCGCTGGGGATGGTAGAGAGGCCTGGGCATGGGAGTCCCTCCCCGGGACCGTGGATCCCAAGCCCCCCCGGGCAGATACAGTTCTTATACCAGGGCTCTGAGCGCTAACTGTATATGCACATTGCCTAGCTGTCCTGCTGAAATGCGGCTTCTGACTGAACGGGTCTGCAGTGGGGCCCGAGGGTCGACATTTCTCAAGTAGCACCAACACTGCTGGTCCATCGACCGTTCTTTGAGCCGGAAGGTCTCGGACCCTGGGAGAAGGGCTGCGGGATGGACGCGGAGGGTCCGGCCGACAGGCTTGGGTGGTGTGGCCGAGCCAGTGGCTCTTCTCTCCTCCCCTGCAGGAGAAGCTGGAGCGTGTGTTCCTGGGAAGTAAGGCTGCTCAGAAGCACCCCGAAGAAGTCAGGAGCCTCTGGCAGACTTGCGGGGAGCTCATGTTCTCTCTGGAGCCACGGCTTCGACATCTTGGGCTGGGGAAGGAGGTGAGGCCCCCCAGCCATGCAGGAGAGTGGAGGGCGTCCTTGAAGCCACCAGGCTTGGGGGGAAGGGTATCGGATAGGCAGTGGGCTTTGCCTCACAGCCTTAGGGAGGAGCGGCTCACACCGCTGTGGCCTTCGGTTTTGTCATTTGTAAACTAGGAAGCAGGCTGGTTGGATGCTTTCTGAAAGCCCTGCACACCGGGGTGGTGTGTGCAGAAGGGAAGGAGAGAAGAGCCGAGAGCGAGAGGGAGCTGGGGAGGGGGAGACGGGAGAGGGGGAGGACAGGCTTCCGGCCTCTGGAGGCCACTGGGCAGCTGCGTGGTGTGAGGGACGCGGCAAGCCCGTGGGGGGGGCCAGCCTGTGAAAGGAGTGGAGCGACAGGGGAGCTAGAGACAGACCCCTCTTTGTTACGTGTGGTATAGTTTTTCCCCCCAGGAAGGAGATGGAGGGGGCAGGGCGGAGGCTGCTGGGAGGAGGTGCCGGAAACCTGGGGCTGTTGGGGGGAGTGTGCTGGGAAGGAACCCCCCTCCCCTCCGGCAGTTACTTCTTCCCGTCCATCCCCTTCCTTGACAGGGAATCACCACCTATTTCTCTGGGAACTGCACCATGGAAGATGCCAAACTGGCCCAAGACTTTCTGGACTCACAGGTTTGAGGGTTGAGGAGCCCGGGACAGTGGTGTGATGGGGCCCCCTCACTACTGGCCCCCACTCTGGGTCTCAGCTTGGGCCCAGAGACACTGGCATCTTGGGTGTTTGAGGTGGACAAGACTTGGGAATCCTTGTCCGTGAGTTGGCCTGGCCCCAGTGAAGACGATGTTCACCCTTGGCCGGTGGCCATGATGGAGCTCCCCCGCCCCAGACGGAAGGACTTAATGACAGCCTCTGGGCGGGACCGCAGGACGATGCTCTGGTGTCAGAGCCGCCTCCCACTGGGCCCTGGTGTCCACATGTCGGCTCCACCTCCCAGCAGCTATGTGACCAGTATCATGTCTGCTGCCTCGCGTAGCCCTGGGTTGGCTGAGGGCATGCAGTGCTGGGCCCAGTCGGGTCGGCGCTTAATAAAAGTTAGCGCTCCACGTGTAGAGCAGAGCTGGAGAGCCTGTCCTGCAGCCCACCCGCTCCCCTACCTTGGGCAGCTTCCCCCAGAGGCCCCGGCCTGCTTTGCTTCTGTATCTTCTCTCCCTGGTGTGACCCTTCCCCTACTCCCACCTTGCGGCCCCCTCTGGACTTACTCTTCCCCAGAACCCCTGCCCTGGTCTCTTCCAGAACCTCAGTGCCTACAACACACGGCTCTTCAAGGATGTGGACCAGGATGGGAAGCCCTGCTATGAGGTGCGGCTGGCTTCTGTGCTTGGCACGGGTGAGCTGCTTCACATACCCCTTCTACTCCTGCCTCAGTGCTCCTGGACCAGGGCGGAGGGGGCTGAACTGAAGACCGGGGCTCGTGGTTATGCGGTAGCTGCAGGGAAGAGCAGTCATAATAGTCACGGCCCATGTTGATTGCAGACTTACAGTCATTACCATGCTCCATGCCGTGCTGTGTATGGTGGCCCCCCTGAAGGGAGCTCAAGCCCCGGTGCTGGTTGTGACAGTAAAGAAATGGGGGGAAACACAAGAATGGGAAAAGGGGTTCCATTCCACTTGGCAGATGTTACTGCTGCAAACCTCTAATGGGAGCCATGTTGGGGGGCATGGTCCCCAGCACAACAAATAACAATCCACATAAATAATGGGAAGAGAGGCTGGGCCATATGCCCCTTGACAGCCTAGAAGAGAAATACAAACTGTACATCAGTGAAGGCTTAGTGGAAGAGGGGACCATATGTGTCTTGGAGGTTGGGAATATAGAAAGGTAGGGATGGCTAATGTACTAAAATCCACTTCCTTGATATCAAATACCCTCAGGGTAAAGCCCAAATCCACTGCTGTATCATTCAAAACTTTTTTTTTTTTTTTAATGTTTCTTTATTTATTTTGAGAGAGAGAGAATCCCAAGCAGGCTCCACACTGTCAGTGCAGAGCCCGACATGGGGCTCGATCTCACAAACCAAGAGGTCATGACCTGAGCCAAAACCAAGAGTTGGACACTTAACCAACTGAGCCACCCAGGCGCCCCTATCATTCAGAACTCTTTGCAAATGAAGAATCTATTTCAGATTTGCCTGAACCAGAAGGGTACTTAACAGGCTTGGGTAATTAAGAATTCCTGGAGAAGGATGGCTTCAAGCACCTTGGATGCAGCTGCTCAGACAGTATCCTGAGAAATTTCTCTCTCTGTGTCTTGGCTCAGCTCTCTGACTTCATCCACAGCATGTTCCCCCCACACGGGGCCCGATAGTCACCAGCCTGGCCACTCCGGCAGAAAGAGGGCCCTGTTCTCCCAGAAGTTTCTTCATAAGGTCTGGGAGTGGCTCTAGTTTCCCTATCCTGGGTACCATATTTATCTGTGAACCAATCCCTGTGGTCAGGGGATGGATCTCTAATTGTCTAGACCCTGATCCCAAGCCTACCTCAGAGCCAGGTGATGAGGTCAGCCCCTCCCTCTTACCTGAACTGGAGGTGGTCGTGGTGGGGGATCCTCAGAGGAACATTGGGGTCCATTGCCAGGTGAGAAGGAAATGCATGCAGTGTGGACAGAAATATCCAGGCCCCTATGAGGACCTTTGCAACCTGGCCCTCCCTTTTCCACCCACTCGCCTCCTCCCGGCCCCCAGCCTCATATCCCTGCAAGCCTCCCTCTTAGACTCTGTGCTCCAGCCACGCCCAGCCGCCTACAGTTTCCTGAAAACCCCATGTTCTCACATCCGCTGTCCAGGACTTTGCACAGTTTGATCCCCTTCCCACCTCAGAGGCTTCCCTCCCTTTGCTCACGTGATGAATACCTACTCATCCTTAAGGCCATGCTTGGGCATCACCTCCAGAACCTTTCCCTGCCTTTCAATGACTTTTCTGTTCTTTTCCCACCAGCACGCCCAGTAATTCCCCAGGTTTTTTGCTGTTGTTGGCTACGGGCTCCCCAAAGGGAGGAATTGTATGTTTCATTCACCACTCTCTCCCCAGTGCCTAGCACTTGGTAGAAACTCAGATATTTGGTATGTGAAGAGATGGCTGGGGATCCGCACTTCTGGTGGAGGGAACAGTGTGAGCCCCAGAGCGTGGT